CCGCGCACGGCGGCTCGTTCCCCGCCAGGCTGGGCGGTTGGTGCTGGGACGGGATCTTCCCCCGCTGTTCCGCACCGTTTCCTCAGAGGGCTGCCGTCTGCCTGCTCCCCTGCCCTCCCGCTGGTGGAGGGGACCCTGCTCAGGGCGCGTGGGTGAAGAGCTTCCCCAGTCGCCCTTTGTGGCCGGGGTGGGTGTCCTCTGGGCCGAGCAGCCGGCAAGGGGACTTGCGGTCTGACCGGGCCCTGCACCAGGGTCTCGGCCGGTGCGAAGCCAGAGGGCGGCGTCCGGCCTCCCCCGGCGCTGCCGGTCGGGCAGGGGGCGGTGGTGCTGCAGGGCGCGGTATTTAGGGAGCCTTATGTAGGCAAGGAGAAAAAAAACTACTATTAGTAGGATAGGCCTTAGTCTAGGCACAACAAGTAGGCGAGGTGCAGGATGTGGTGGGTGGCGGGATTTAGTGTTAAAACGAGTGTAGATTTGCAGAGCAGAAGGACAAGCCTCTTTGGGACAGAAGTCATGAAGCCTGAATAAATCAGGGACTGCCAGTCTTTTTTGCCTTACGATCTGTATACCAAAACCCTTGTGAGGGGAATGAAGCTACACATTCATAAGCTTTTATTTTTGAAAACGGTTTTGATGAGAGCTTCCTCCCTATTGAGCATCTTTTATAGAGCTGGTGACCTAAACTGGATTACTTTGGATGCATGCTTCTCTTATTTGGTTCGTTGCTTGGCCTGACAGTTTTATTGCTGCAGTTAAATTAGCAAGGCACGAATGATTAAGGAAGTGAGGATGCTCTAGGACTAGTTAAACCTGTAGTGTTGTTGAAAGATTATCTTCTTAAATTGTACCTCAAAAGTTACATGACCATTACTGGAAGATTGCTTTAAATGGTGGCACACTCAGCATCGTGGTCCAGAGGTGGCAGTAGTTTACTAAGGTTCTTGTGAAGCAAATGTGTTTGGGTGAAACAGGCTGCTGAGACCTTGTAAGTGTCTTGTTCATGTCAGCCTAAGTCTTCAGACTGTTTTCCTCTAATAGCTTGTGTTTATTGCTCAGCAGTACCAAGGACTGCTGATAAAGAAAAAAAAAATAGTCCCAGCATGGAAGCAGATAGAGAATTGTGCACAGCTCAAGAGCTGTAGTTCAAATATTTTATTGTTGTGGAAGAATTCCAGAAAAGAGTTAGTGAAGAGTCTTAAATCATATTTTTGACAGTTATTTCTCAGATGAAGGCTACAGTTTTAACTTCCAAAACTAGCACCATGCTATTAACAACCCTTTTCAGTCAGTTTGATTATTTCAGTGACAGAATCGTGTTTTATCACTTTTATCTTTTCACAGTTGATATGCTTGAAATGACAGTCAGGTTCTAATCCTCTAATCCATCAAAAGAGCTGTTAATTAGAATTAGTCAATCATTTTATTAGTTTAAACTGGAAAAGAGTATGCCTGTCTGGGTGCTGCTGATGCTTAATTTGTTTTTCTGCGTACAGTTTTAGAAGGAAATGCAGCATAACCTTTAGATCCTGTGTTATGTATCTTAAAAAATATGAAGAAACAATGTAGTAAGATACTAAATGAAGCGGCAATTACTGCAGGTTTTCTTCTTGGATTTTTTTTTTTTTTTTTGTAATTTTTTAATACATTTAATGTCTACATGAGAGGAGGAAACAAATTCCTTGTTGAAAACCAAAATTTAGCAATATAATGTTTTTCTTTAGTGTTTCTTGGTTCAGTTTCATAAGGCCCATTAATTTCTTTTTGTAGTATTTTATGCCCTTTAATGAAGTATCTCATCCCTGAGATGATCTGTAGTTTAATCTGCATTTTGGAAATGCCTATCTAGGCAAAGATTTTTCTCTGATTTCTACCTTAGAGACTTTTGCTGATGGCCTGGGTATTGCAAGCAACTGCAGGAATATATAGCTGCTGCTGTAGATACTTCTGTAGTACAAGAGATGGCAGGTTTGCCTTGCAAGGTTTGGCCGTTTGGAGTAATTTTTCTTTCTTTAATAGACAACATGGCAAGCCCAGGTAAAGATAACTTCAGAATGAAAAGTTACAAGAATAATGCACTTAACCCCCAAGAAATGCGCAGACGAAGAGAAGAGGAAGGAATTCAGCTTCGGAAACAGAAAAGGGAAGAACAGGTAAGTATCTTGGTGAGCTGTTAACTGTTAAGTGCTTGTGAAGCTAAATTCAGATTTATGACAGGACTTGAGCAGACTACTCCTGTGGAGCCAAATCCAGAGCGCTGGGTTGAATGTCTGTTTTCTGTGTAATCTTGGGGAGCACTAGGTACCTCTCGATAGGATTGTAAAACAAAAAAGGGAACAGAAGCCCTCTTAAATCACTAGGGCATGCAGAGGAGAGACCTGTGTCTTAAGTTTCATCCTTAGTCTAGGTTTAAATGTGTAAGACTGGGCTGAAAGGATGCCCTTATTTGCAGTAAGGATTAGAAACCTTGCATTCTCTTTCAGAGTTTGGGCCAAAGTTGTACTCTTAGAAGTGAGAGGATTATTTTCATCTTTGAAGCCATACTTAAAATTTTCCAAGAGCTTTTCTACCTATTAGTGATCCCTGAAATATGATATATAACATTTGCAGTTGTCCTCATTGAATTTTAGTGATCAGGGTACATGGAACATTGTATAATTTAATGGTTTGTGGTAGGTCTTTTTACCAAAATGTTTAGTAGTTTCTTGCCAGGAAAGTAAGGAATGTAGTTTGTTTTTCTGCTTGGTCTAAAGTGGCTGAATTTGTCTCCCACAACCTAGAGAGTGTCCCAGGCACTGATCTACAGTCTTCTCTGAGGTGGGAATGCTTACCCTTCTCCTGGGAAAGTGGTGCTACTGCATGGAAAAAGAATTTAAATTAGTTGGGCCGGAGAGGTAAGAGTAAGAAGTAGTATGATACTGGAGCATTTACCTGTGAATGGGTAACTGCACTGCAGTTCCTGCTGAAAATTTTGTTTGTGTATTTTGCAGTAAATACTCCCTAGATATGTTATGAAAGTAGTAGGTATTTCCTCTCCCATGCTGACTGTTGGAACAATGAGAATACTGTTATGTTCTCCTTGATCTTAATTTGTTGGACTGTTTTTTTTCAGCTCTTCTTGAACTGGGGAGAACAAGTTTATGCAGGGAGATGA